CCATAAATCATCCGAAAGATTAGAATCTTAAATATGTTTAACGGGATTTTGGAAAGCACTCCGGAAGATCTCGAAAGAAGGATTATAAATTACGCAAGGGAACTAACCATGTTTTTTTTTTGTATTAGGTGATCAGATAAGTGTACTGCTTGCCATGTATCCAGATCAATTATAGCATACATGCAGACGTTTATGGTTGATGGTTTTTACTGATGCAGGATTCTTCTCTAGGGACAAGGTGCGAAGCCATATGGCCCATTTCGACAGACTTTGATGGAAACCCATAGAGGGGGAGCTAATTCGCTGGAGAGGCACTTGTAGTCCCCCTCCTCATCAGCCTAATGGAAACACAAAATTGTTAGCTTACTAAAACTGATTGATCTATTTTTTTTTAATTCAACTGCATTTAATACTAATTTTTAAAAATAAAAAACAAGTAAAATAAAATTCTAAATTTCACATCAACTGACAACATCATGAAATTTTGTAATGCAAGTTTCTTTAAGATTTCAGTTATCTGTTCCAGTTAAACCTCAAATCTAAATTACAATTTGTTTTAATTTATCAAGCTAACAAAGTAAATGAACACAAATTGCCGTTCAGCTTGTACAACATGTTCCCAAGCTGGGGTCAGATAGGGGAACCTAATAGAGCCCCTCTTATCATTTCCCATCGGCAATTTATCTGTGGTACAAGCAACAGTCTATCAACTGTAAACACTTTACACTGACATTCTGATGACGTTTTTCAATTTTTCAAAAATTTTATGGCCGTCATTCCCAAATATCGTGTGTTAACTAACGATCAGAGCGAGTCGGAATTGCGTGAATCATATTGATTCAAAACTCGGTGCTATTAAACCAGTGCACTCGAGAGATGCTCTTCACTCTGATGGAATAGATGATATAAGTATGTGTAATTGGAAAATGTATGTAAGTAATTTGTTCTCATAGAAAGTTTGGCACCAGGTGTGAAAGGTTAGCAGGTGAGTCGGGGAGGGCGGAGATTAAAAAAAGACACGGGGAATTCACAGTTGTACAATAATAGAAAGTGAATCTATGAACTCTTAACACCGTGTGTTGTGATTGTATGCTAAAACCTTGTGTGTTTACTGTTTATTTTTAATTAAAACTTAGTTCAAGTCTTTGTGTACATCAGGTTATCAATAATTACAAACAGGGTTGGTGAATGAGTGTTATAGATATATAGTGTTGAATTGTATATCTACGACCAGTAATGTTTTAACTACCACTCTAGTTAATCTCGATTAAACCACGTATAGATCCGGGCCTACTTTCACACTGTTATGACAAGAAAATAATTCCCTACATTAGTGAAAATATTTTGGTGTTAATATTTCTGAAACGCTGACAAAAGAAATGTAAATTAGATATGATTTATATAATTAAATCCAGCCAGTTCGAAATTCTGTAGTGTCCTGTAAATGATTGGTCAAACTATCATTAACAAACTGCATTATTGGATGTAAGTATAAGGATTATTTATGTTTATCATTTCTAGGGCCACTGCAATCTTAGATTAAACCAGTTATGACGTAACATTCCAATGGTTGACGTGACCTCAGATGACCTAAAGCAGATGCAACATAAAAAATAGTCTTAAAAATGATTTCAAAACGACCTGACCAGATTCTTTGAATTTTCGAGAAAGGTACTCTGGTATTCAGTGTTGGTTGGAATACTTGGAGATCCTTACAGATAAACACATCAGAACGCATCTCTGTAACTCTGGAAATTGATCTCTGATGAAAGAATTGACGATATTGAACACAAAGGAATGTCGTCATAGGTTTTATACAGATAAAAACACGTCGAGACGACCATTAAGATAACCGTAACAGACTTGTTGTCTGTCAATAGTTTCTGATAATCTGACATTTGTAGAAACCCGACAGCGATACAGAACACATGCTAAGATCAGCACTCATAGCAAACATATTTATCTGTCCACGCTATCGCTATACCCCGCACCTTTATCACACATTTCCAGCACAAGTTTAGATAGACAGCATTCAGAGTGACGACGTTTCTGTAGGTTTAAACTTTCCGAGCGGACAAAGACAGTTAGCAGTTTCTTTAACAAGTTACACAGTGTAGGTATTGAGAGTATCACGCAGTCCACCTCGTACTAGAGTTTAGTGGCTATAGCAAAATTATGAATTTTTAACGACCAATAAAATAAAATAAAACATAATTATGTACTGCAATTTCAGAAATTTCATTAGCAATGGTATCCGTGACCTACATGGGTCAGTTGCCATGTACTGGTTGTTTTTTTTTCTCCGGCTTTACTCCATCACCCAAACCTGTAACGTCCTTAAATGACATTGGCTGTTAATAGGACGTAAAGCAATGACAAGCCAAACCATTCTATAGTCTTTGAAAAAGGGGCCATAACTCTTCAATTCGATATCTCGCCTCACGACAAAATTTTGCTGAATGTGATTAATATTGTACATAAGATCTGTTTTTGGAAACGATTACAATCATACAGACAAATCGGGATCAGCTACGTATTGATAATTCAATGTTAACGCAGCAATCTTCCGTTTTAGCGTGGCGAGTGTTAATTATGAGCTGTAAAAAAAAACTCAAAATACTATTTACACATCAGGATGGATAAAAAGAATTGATTTTCATGTTTCTACGTCTCCTGGAATGGGACCGAAGATAGCTGTTAGATCGATTTTAATTTTTAATATTTTATTGCCTTGACACAGGTTTAAGATATTCTGTCTGGGATCTTGGGACTAAACAACCCCATGTAGAACGTCACTAATTTTCTTAAATTTACAGCTTGAGCTAGCACAGGTGCACACCTATAAAGCTACGTGGATAATTTCCATTAATTTCATTCATAAATTCATTCAGGGATTACAAAATTAGAACCACCAACGGCAAAGTAGAAATAATTTGGATGAAAATGACAGCAACTGTTCTGCTCTAACAGACATAGCTATTACCACCTGTCCGATGAATTTATGCTACAGCTACTTAAACAGTTTTAGACGTATTAGGTTAAGTCAAATGTTTCTAAGAGGCAAAAATCTGGTGTGTAGTGTGGACAAGACCCGGGTAATTACCACAATAATACGGACGTACCATAATGTCTGAATAACATGACGTCACAAACGATGCCAATCCCTGGCGGTTAAAAAATGGTAAATTGTGCGAGGTTTGATCCCCACGTAAAAGAAAGCTGACAAAGCGCCGACAAGAATTTGCTAAAGATAGCTACTGACCTTGACCATATGGTCATCTATATATGTTTGTGAAATTTGATGAAATTCCCTCATGAAATGAAGCCGCATGAGCGCTGACAAGAATTTTCTAAAAACAGTGATTTTTCTAAAAAAAAAAAAAAAAATAAAAATAAAAAAACTGACCTTGCCGTGACCTTACTACTCTGTAATTCAACGAATTCGTCTGATATATTATTGATGTTTATCAATGTGTGACGTTTGATCAGAATCCATCTGGAAATGATGCCATCAGAGCATCGGCAATGATAAGTGTTGTAATCTTGTATCAGACCATAGACTGTCTTACTCTGTATCAGACTAGAGACTGTCTTACTCTGTATCAGAACATAGACTATCTTACTCTGTATCAGACCTGAGACTGTCTTACTCTGTATCAAACCAGATACTGTCTTAATCTGTATCAGACCATGAGACTGTCTTACTTTGTATCAGATCATATACTGTCTTACTCTGTATCAGACCTGAGACTGTCTTAATCTGTATCAGACTAGAGACTATCTTACTCTGTATCAGACCAGAGACTGCCTTACTCTGTACCAGACCAGTGACTGTCTTACTCTGTATCAGACCATAGACTGTCTTACTCTGTATGAGACCAGAGACTGCCTTACTCTGTATCAGACCAGAGACTGTCTTACTCTGTATCAGACCAGAGACTGCCTTACTCTGTATCAGACCATAGACTGTCTTACTCTGTACCAGACCAGTGACTGTCTTACTCTGTATCAGACCATAGACTGTCTTACTCTGTACCAGACCAGAGACTGCCTTACTCTGTATCAGACTATAGACTGTCTTACTCTGTATGAGACCAGAGACTGTCTTACTCTGTATCAGACCAGAGACTGTCTTACTCTGTATCAGACCTGAGACTGTCTTACTCTGTATCAGACCAGAGACTGTCTTACTCTGTATCAGACCAGAGACTGTCTTACTCTGTATCAGACCAGAGACTGTCTTACTCTGTATCAGACCAGAGACTGTCTTACTCTGTATCAGACCAGTGACTGTCTTACTCTGTATCAGACCAGAGACTGTCTTACTCTGTATCAGACCAGTGACTGTCTTACTCTGTATCAGACCAGAGACTGTCTTACTCTGTATCAGACCAGAGACTGTCTTACTCTGTATCAGACCAGTGACTGTCTTACTCTGTATCAGACCAGAGACTGTCTTACTCTGTATCAGACCAGTGACTGTCTTACTCTGTATCAGACCAGTGACTGTCTTACTCTGTATCAGACCAGAGACTGTCTTACTCTGTATCAGACCAGTGACTGTCTTACTCTGTATCAGACCAGAGACTGTCTTACTCTGTATCAGACCAGTGACTGTCTTACTCTGTATCAGACTATAGACTGTCTTACTCTGTATCAGACCAGAGACTGTCTTACTCTGTATCAGACCAGAGACTGTCTTACTCTGTATCAGACCAGTGACTGTCTTACTCTGTATCAGACCAGTGAAAATATTTCTCTTGTATCAGACCAGAGACTGTTGTACTTTTGTATCGGACCAGCTCTGTGAGACTTGTTCCATATAATTTATCAGTGCAACAACTTCACCCGTTCTAAACAAACACTACTCTTAACATTTCAAAATAAAATAAAAATGTTCACGTGTACGTATGCAATGGAGACATAATACATTTTGATGTTTTTAAATGCTTGGAGTATTCAATGTGTTATCTATCAATAGAACTTTAAACCACACCTACCTTGAAACTAGAAATCCACAGTAAAACTATTGAGTCATCAGCATTTATACCTGTACTTTTCAAAATGACGTAATCCAGTTATGAATGAATCAAACGTTGATTTCCTCAGACAGGTTCTACGAACATCCGAGTTGACATTAAACACTGTCTTTTCCTACACTAGCTGTCAGGTACTGTACATATTCGATGAACTGGTATACATATGTAAGGCTCGTGTGTATACCTGTGTTAGTCTAAATCCTGTGTACCTGTCTAAATTAAGTCCTTTGTCAGACACCTTCTTCAACCTTTTCGGCTCAAATGCCGGGTTTCCTTGTTATGGCGTTCACGCCTCAGTGAATTTGCATGCCCTTAATGTTGGTCGGGATTGAAGGGACCATCACTCCCCCTTAACTAGCCAAATCTGCCTCGCGTGATACCGTCTAGGGAATAAGATACAAGCTTGTCAATACTGTGGAAATATAGACAAAGTCTATTGTTCGTGCTTACGTTAGTTGGAAACAGTGCCGAGACTGGTCGGTGAGCTTGCCTCACAGGGTACAGTCTTGCTGAACAGATAATTCACACCGATACCACGCACTCACGGTTGTGCGATTAGCTTTAAAACTCTATGCGAAAACAATTTTATCGGGCACGAACTTTTTAGTAAACATATTTATCTTTTTCTGAAAATATACTTTCCGTGGTTGAAAGCAATCAGCGTCAATTAGAAACTTTAGAATCACAACTATTTGTCATAAAAATTACTGAATTTTCTCTTCGTTTTTAAGGAATGTTAAGCTAATAGAAAAAAATGAACCTATAATCTTCCGTGTGATCCAGTGCTCGGCAAATTCTTTCAACCACGTGTAAAAATAACAATATGTCTTCTCTGTTTTACAAAAGCTTACGAAGATAAATCTGTGTTAGCATGTTCCAGCTGTTTTGTTTATTTCAATGCTATCTCTTCGTCTTGTAACACTGGCTGTGCCAGATCTGTCGATAACAATCAACAGGGACGTCATCAAAATGTCATCGATACCTGGTCATTTTAACAGTCCGAGGGGAGGGGGTGCAATTTATTAGCATGAAAAGAGGGACACGTCACACTACTAGCTTGTACCATAGGTGTTATCGGTTGTGATCTATATATAGGAACAGCATGGCTCACAAATCAAATTGTAATTTAACCGTCAGAATAATAATGCGCCTGTTTATCTATGTTAATAGAAGAGTTGTATCGGTTGAAATCTCTTTTTCAGATGTTTATCCGTGTTTTTCACCTGTTGATTTATATATTTTACCTGTGAGGTATAAACCGGTCCCACACAGAGTGGATACAAATGTAACAACGATAGAACGTAACAGAGCAAACAATTCGACAACCTCAAACACAATGTACAAATAAAATGGCCTTCCCGTATATACATATAAACTCATAATTATAAGGTTTGTGTGTGACACGTTATCACGAGACAACATGGGCCTCACCCAGTGACCCTTCAGAGGAGCTAATAAGAGTCCTTCATCCGCTTGACGAGTGGGCGATTGTGTGTAGTGAATCCAAACATTTGCTTTCAATCGTTTAAATAGTGAACTATGCTAAACATGCAGTATTTAGTCATAAAACCTCGTGGATTAGCGTAAAAAAACAATCTGATATTCTGTGGCACAGTCTTGTTAGGCTTGTGCCGACTATCAGAGAACATATGGAGAGTTATTTAGATATTTTAAATGTTAAAACAGAATGTATTTTAAACATATTACATCTTGGTTCATTTCTTACAATCTTTATATATTTCTAATTGGTAAATCATGAAACTTCGGATTCAGTTATAAATACAACGTTTTAGTTATGAAAAGCCGGCGTGGTTGCGTGGGTAGTATATAAGTGGACATGCAGCACTTAAGAAGGGCACGCCCACATGGGGCGTGGTCGTCGGTATTCAGCAAAATTGCAGGTAGTTCGTAAGTAGTTGTTAATCTCAACAGACGTGTATTGTAAAAATTTCGACATATCGATGAACTTGTCGATAGTGTCCTTGTCATCTTGTCATTTGTGTCAGATCTACTACATGAGAAATTTATTTTGGCGATGTCGAAAAGACTTAATAATGAAACATTACAGAAACGTTTTAAAGAAAAATAACAAAAACAAAGCGATGGTAGATGTCGCTTATCATCGTGTAACCTTACTTTGGATAATACGATTTACTTCGACATATCTAGATATATTTCATATTCCGTTCGATTCCTTCACTCGTGTTTCCCAAACTTTCTGCTGGATATGTTCAAATTCTGTACCTCTTAAGCTTTTTGGAATAAATTGCCATGTACTGAATGGTAGGTGTTGTGTTACGTGTTCTGTCGCTTTAATAGGAAAGTTCTGTTTAACTTAGGTACTGACTTGTGATAATGAGCAGACATCCCTGTTCGTCCGATGGAGAGGATAAGTCTCAATGTAATATGGAATATAAAAAACGACTCAATCAATTTATATCTACACGAATTTTCACAAAGCATTAGTTGTTAGTTTCAAAAAAGTATTTTGCAGTGCGTGTTCGGATATACCTTTTCAACTCTCTGTCTATCTTAGAAACGAGTGTCATTTGATAACCTGTTCAAACTGTTGGTTTTATTCATGACGTAAATCTTATAAGGACACGAGAGTTATTCCCCTTACATCAGCTTCACGGAGAAAACTAGTATATAAATTAAGTGCTATCGTCGGTAAAAGACGATATCAGATATTGAATTCTATATGAAAACGTGAACTGTTGTCTGAAGAGTTTGTCATTTGCTCTCATCGATTTCCCCAATATATACACCAGGGAGAGCTAGATCGACCGAGTTTCAAACTGGCGGCCGTCAACTTCGAAAACAAAAATTTGCTACACACTTTTAATGTAAAATCGAAACTGGTGATATCGTGATTGGAGCCTACAATCGCCTGAACTTAAAACGGAAGTTGTGAGCTGGTCGTCCTCTAGTCACGACTGGATCTATTCAGTATGTATACAAAAAACTGCACCAGCAAAACTCAATAGCAGACCGTTTTTATTTGGCGATAAACCCCTCTCTTTATTTGCGCTCAAATGTGATTAATGTATAAATGTATTTTAGCATTTTTAGCTTTGTCGCTCAGTTCTTGTTTTGAACTGGTCTAATTGATTGAAAGGTTTGGTTTGATGTTGGCCTGGAATGAAAAATTCGTTTTGTCAGCCGTATTGCACTGGAGGCGCATTCCTGGAGTGCGACATGAAAATGTCAGTACAGAGCTAGAAAGGACCAAAGAAATCAGAACGAGATATAATCAGCGCCATTGTGAGCCATATCTATGTACATGCTGATATGTATAATTAATTTACATGGTTTTGACTACCATTACGCGATATGCAGTTGCTAAAACCGATTCTGTTTTAGAACACAGTCGGTTTTTTTCATTGTATGTACAAGGACATGTTTTATGAAAGAGGTCACGCGCATATGACGTATCTCTCACGTGGTAACTACAAAATAAAATACTGGTACGCTAAGACGTTGATTTTCGGATTATTTTTCTAAAAGTCAAGTGTTAACAACACTGCGAAATGAGTTAAGTAAGTTTAGTAAATTTTGAATTGAATTTTTTTATTTGCCTTACCTGCCTTGCATGCTATAATAATTGTTTCATTTCTAGGCGAAGCAGCTTGAAACAGAGAAGTCAATTCAATTGTATCTTTGAATAGAAAATGTAATAGAACATTCTTACGTCTCATTTCCAGGTGATGTATCTGTATATGTCGGATCAAAATAGCTATACTGCATACTAAAATACATGGTGTTGTAACATTTACTAGAAGGGAGGTAACTCTGTTAAGTTTCAGCATTTTTGTCATTCCCACGAAATGATAAGTGTTTAACAGAAATAAAACAATATCGTGAAAAAAGGACTTGTCCTTCTACCAAAATCCATATTTAATTTTTACATCTATAGTTCCGCTGATGAAAAAACCATTGTTAGTAGTGTTACAATTATTGTTTATGAATACATGTTTATTTCAAAAAATAAATAAAAACATCACAGTGCCAGTACAACGTGACATCACCAGACATCAGGATTCGTCTAACGTATATTGAACATTACGTGTATTTACTGTGTGTAATCTGACTAAATTCAGAAGTGTATTACTAGTTCAGGAACCGGCAAAGGAGTGTAGAAAATAGTGTATACTAATTGAGGATGTTTCTCTGTGTTACAAGATGAATGTTTAAGATGATAAAATACAAGCGGTGAGCTCCTTTCAGTTGGCATTCCTCGGCATTACGAACACGAACTGGATAAAGACAAATTCAACCTGAAAAGTTAATGCGCTTAGTATTGAATTTTCCCTTCGCCAGAATCGCGGAAGTGGGATATACCAATAGTGTACACTATTTAACTTAAACAGACTGTCCCTAGGCTGTACTAGATCGTCTCTAGGTTTTCCCTAGACTGCCCCTGGACTGAAGCTGTCCTTGGACTGTATGCTATCCTCAGACTGGACTGTCTTTAGGTTGCCCCTAAGCTGTTACTAAATCGTCCCTGGACTGTCAGTTGCCCTTAGGCTGAAGGCTGTGTCTAGACCGTTCCTGGACTGTTGGTTGCCCCTAGGTTGAGACTGTCCCTAGGCTGTTCCTAGACTGTCATAGGCTGTCTATGGACTGTAGGCTGTCCCTAGGATGTAGGCTAAACCTGGGCTGTCCGCGGCACATAATGACCACAAGTGACCAAGTGCAATGTGCATTGGACCAATGTGCAAGAAAACATACAGTAACATTAACATTGTTCTGGTTTGTTAACATGGCAGAACTTACTTGGATTGACAAAGGTTTATAAGGTGGGTGTCGTCAATGAAGCAGAAGACGCTTACTCTTCCGGAACACCTCGTATTATTCCCCTTCTCCTTATTTTTCATGATTCACCGTGTAAATCATTCTTTCGTTCATTCGTCTCTCCATTTCCCCCAAAAGAACCAGAATAGCATATGCACAATTTTAATTACAATGCCAACTCATTTATATATGCATAATAAAGAACAGATGGTATTTGACTTAAAATTGTAGTAATTAGCATTACAGTGATAAAAGGTCTAAATTTATGGATGTATGTGATACACATGTAAGCGAATAAGGCGAATACTGAAATATGCGTATAAGTACCGATTAGAATATGCAATATCTATTGATCCTTAAGGGAATGTAGACACGCATTTAGTAAAATACTAGTATTGTCAATGTTTGAAATAGAACACCACAACTGATCACGTCAATTTTCAGTATGACTACACTCTATTACAAAGTGTGTTGAAATATCCTGATGTACAATATCGCATTTGTCACATAGCTCTGCGCTTTCATTGGTATAAACAGTTACAATTATTTGATTT